TGGTGTCTCCATATGAGTGAAAAATTCTCGAGAGGGACATTAAACAATATACCATCAATCAATTGTTATGTCATTGTACATATTTGATATTCAAATCATATAAAACTAACATTACAATTAAGTCAGATCAAAACTACAGCACTGTAATAATATGAATTGAGTCATAATTGTGTGGATAATAAACTCGACCTCCCTTTCTAAACAAAGACACTTTTTACGATCAAAGATAAGTAACGCCTACAAGATATCAATTTGTTAATCACAATGGGAAAACACGACAGAGGAATGTAGTGCAACACAAAACACCTATAAGATTAAACTTAAAGAAAATAAATTAAAGGGACGTGAGCTCCTAAAATATAATTTTTAAACAAAAGAAAGGTAATAATGCGGAAAATAAATCAGGATATTAAGACAATAAATCGCTCTGAAAGGAAAGGGAGAACTTTTTCGATTGTAAAAGATTTTCCACGTTCATTGTACCAAATAAAATTAAATTACTTCAAGCAAGAAAGCTCAGTTCCCAATTAAAGGACCTTATAAACTGCAAATATTGATTTTCCATATCAATTTCGTCGTCCGCGTGGCGCAGTGGTTAGAGCGTCTGCTTTAGAGTCGCGACGTAAGGAGTCGAACCTTAAGTCGCGGGTTCGAATCCCAGTGTGGGACGTGGAGACCGGTCCTTCGGATGAGACCGTATAAACCGAGGTCCCGTGTGGCAGTAGGTGATGCCACGAAAAAGATCCCTGACTGCTCAATGGCCCCAAGTGCCGAGTATAGGACAAAATTTAGAGCTCTCCACCGTCAAGTGGTGGCGTCTCCATACGAGTGGAAAATTCTCGATTAAACAATTGATCGAATTTAACGTTAAACAACACACAATCAATGAATATCAATTTATAGTACTCCGATTCTGAGATAAAAAAAAAATACATACATTGAATTATTGAGCCAAAAAATCCATAAGCAATGTTTACATGTATTTTACCCATTGTAGAAAAGTTAATCATTTTTAAGGTGAAAAATTTGAAATTCTTCTATAAAATTTCAGGAATACTACGTATTTTCTATTTGAAAATTTCGTTATCATTAAATATATTTTAGGATGAAAACATTATTAAGAGTAATTCAGGCATATAAACAAAATAGCATGGTTTTTATATTTATTTGGAAAAAGCACTTTTGTTAAGTTTTTTTTTTATTTACTAAAATTATTTCAGAATGGAAAGAGCATTACACCCATTCTCAGTAATAATGTGCAATTAAGGAATTTTCGAGACTTAAAATTCAGTTTGAGTGTACGCCCGATAGACCTCGTGCAAAGTTAAGGTTAGATATGTCAGATTAACATCCTAAAAAATCAATAGCACCATTTTGTTGGCATAATAAATATGATAAATTGAAATATATGCTATTTTCTCCTAAAAATCACTGTAATATATACGTTACCGAACTTATCGGCTTAAGAAATAAAGAATTATGTAGCATCTTTACTTCTTTCCAAGTTAATAATATGTTAGGCTATATATTTTTTTCTGATACAAGGGATATAATCAAAGTTATTTAGACTACTACAGTCGATAAATAGAGTTGATAGGGCCATCGAAAAACATGATTTACTATAAATAAAAGATGCAGTATATTGCAGTTACGTTCTAATTCTAATTGTCTAAAGGAAAAATACTTCCTATATCAAATGACATTAAATTGGCTATTGACAAACGAAAAATTTTAAAACAAACCACAATAATAGTTTTTTTAAACATAAAAACAACCTCAAAATTTGTCCAGGATAAAAGTAACGTAAGTATCGAATGATAGCTAGTGTCAATAAGTTCTGTCGATTTTGCAAAAAATCACTTTCTATGAGTATGATATGGATAGATTTCTCTCACATATTGAGAACCTAAAATATAACTGAGGCAGAATGTTAACGACAAATTCAATATATTTCTTGAAAGCACGGTTTTTCCTTAATTTCTGGTCATTCAATTTTTATTTACATTTATATTTTTATTTATTTTATGATGAAAACAAGTATTCTTATTTGAACTTTATTAAAGAAGTTTAGAACAGTAACATAGCGAATGAACAACACAAAACCAAACAATGTGACTTTAAATGCATATGGTTTAGGAGTTGAAAATCCTTAGGTAATCAAACGTAACGTAGGTATCAAACACTAAAGTTCACGTTTATTTTCGGACAAATGAATCCAAGATAAGAGAAAAATCTTCATTTGTTATCCGAAAATTCCTCATCGTCTTGCCGCATGGAAGAGGTCGCTGAATAATACACAAGACCTGATCGTAAGTAATCCAGATCCTGTCATCTTTGGTAGGCCATCGAAACAGCTTCTTTGCCTTCTCCATAAAGTTTACTTCTATCTCGTCTTCTTTGTCATCTCTATCTACAACTTCCCCGATATACCAATCTCCGCTGTAGAGACAAGCCACATATTCGCCAACAGAGTACGGTTTCTCTAGATCTGCCTCTGCATTACCCTCTGTCTGAGCAGTAACGTTTGTATCTCCTGTATCGTTGCTGTTGTTGTCTTAGTCTTTCGGTGTTCTTCCATCTTCCTCACTCGTGTCCTTGTTTTGTGCCTGGAACGACACCTCTGTCCAACGTGCACAATATTTTTGGCTTAGACAGTCATTGCAGTAGCAGCTTGTTGTATTGGTAAGTATGGATGTTTCAGAGATACCTACAATGCATGTAACTTCATCGTGTCCTTCACAGATTTTATTTGTAAAGTGTTCATTTCTTCACGTTTTCTTTCACATTTTTCTTTGTCTACATATTTGAAATATACTTCTTTCATGCTTGAAGTTATTCCCCATTGACAAAACTCTTTTGGATCTTGAATAGTACGAGGGCTGTTCAATAAATAATGTCCTCGGTGCTCAGAAAGAAGCAGAAGACGCTTTTCAATGATTTAGTCTTCATAATTTTACTTATTAATCTCTAATAAACCAAACACATGTCCTTAACATTTTTTATCCAATTTCTGATTGTTTTTAGAACTCATTTTTGGGTATGACCCTTAGTATATTGGAAAATGGGAGATCCAATGATTTCATGGACTTGTTTTTTCCTTCTGAAAGGTGTGTTTTTTTAAGTTTGGAAATTGAAACAAGTCAAAAGGTCATAGAACTGGCCAATATTGTTAATGTGAAAAAGCACTAACTTTCTGTATATCCCGAAACCCCCTTTACTCTTCAGGGCATGCGGGTTTGGACGCTTCATGAAGGAATTCAATGTAGTGGATTCCTGATTATGGGTCCTTCCTCTAATAAACCGTTTGCATGATCATTATGCAAAAAAATTGCTTTCTAGACTCCTCCAGATATTAAACTGTCTCCCCGAATACGAATTGGAACAACAAAACCACTAATATTTCAGAAAATTGCATATAAACCAGTCTTTGTGCTCTTGCATACCTTTGCTCTTGTCAGACCTTTGCCGTTTTTATCTAGTACTTCTTATGGTAAAATTTGTTTTGATGGTTTTATGCAATATATTCATGTTCCAATATCTGTTTGAATATAAAACAAACGTGGATGACTACAATTACTGATATTTTGAAATAATTGTTAAGACTTTCGTATACACTGTCGTTTCCACTCATTTTTCAAAATATAGGGTGACCTTTTAGTACCAAGCTTTTTTACTGTCAAACGTGTCTTAGAAACAGGGTTAACTACTCCCGATATGATGTCTATTGAATTTGCTATGTGTCTTAAAGTCAATCATACATCATCAAATAGTATTTGTTGAAATTTGGCAAACAGTGCATAAGTTGTTATAATTTTTGTTGGCAAGGAGGGTACCCATTTTTGATGCCCATTATATAATTTTTTTATCATCGAAATTCACTTGCTATTTTGTCTATAAAACAGGTATTGGTTGCTGTAAATGTCACATGTTTCAGTGAATATTTCTTTGGGATTTTTAACACAAATTCTCGGAGGTTATTTAGTTTGTTCCAAGATGATTCCTAGTATATAGTTTTTGTTAAACTTCATTGACCCTCTGTTTTACTCCATGATTTGAACAAACTTGATTCTATAAAACATAATTTACTTCTATATTATGACAAAGCTAAAAAAAAAATTGTAGAGATTGAAAAGGATGGTTGCAAAAAGGTAACATTTTGAGCATCATGGAAGGTTTACGATTTCTTAATTTTTTTTTTTTTTTTTTTTTTTTTTTTAGACATTATTTAAAAATATTTTTCTTAATTGTTTTCTGTGTGTTCACTCTGAAAGTTATGTGAGCTTGATAACTTGATAATGATATTCGCCAAGTGCATGTCTGATATGCATGTCAGTCTCGTTCAGCTGTCTTTGTGTCTACTGTCAATGGGTAGGGCCGGGGCTATTGAAATTGACATGGGAGGCCTCATGTATTTTGAATATATTAGGCAGCAATTTTTAAATTTTATACCTACAATTTTTTGGTCACATATAAATACATAAAGAAATCTCTGTCTAGTTTCCGGGTTATGCCGGGAACATCAAACTAGACAGTAATTCCTCAAATAATATTTTAATATCATTCATTAAAAATTAAATATAAGTATTTCCGGATTACCTTTATGTATTTAAGGAAGTAGAAAAAAGGATGTTTTTTATTTTATTTTCTATTTAACTCTCTCACTTGGCGTCTCTAAATATATTGTCCTCTTAAATTTCCTCTTTTAAATGAGGATTTTTACTAATTATTATAAACTTTAAGGCCTTATATTTGCATTCGCAATTCAAAACCAGTACGATGTAGGAGATAGAATCTTAATACATGTAAAAGGAAGTTTTTTAAAGTATATGAAGGTAAGATAGTATTATTAGATTATATATATGTCGCTGATAAGAAAGTTTAAATAAAGTAAGTTATCTGTCCAGAAAAAGGCAGTGAACAGCTCTTTCCGCTGTAATAAATATTCTGTGACCGTAATTGATATAATTATTTATTTGATATATTTTGCAGCATACAGAACGATGGGACCTCTTAAGCTTATACTGCTGATCATCTTTATCAGGGAATCCAGCGAAGAGATTTCTGATCTTGGAGTTGTTATAAGGGTCACACAGAACGGTTTCACATACGGTATGCATAAAGTCCTCAGTTTCATTATATCCCCTTGAAACTGGGTTGGAGGAGTAAAGTTACGCGTGGGGTGGGTGGGATAATCATTTGTTCGAAACTGAAGTGGTATACATGTAATTTACATCAGAATCTATGTTGAATGCTGCCTTATAGATATGGTCTTTGCAAGATGGTCCTACGCTTTGCGGTGTCTTTTTTAAATCATTTTTTGTGAATATTTAAATTGAATAATTATCAAATTTAATTAAGGGCTTAACAACTTTGAAGAATTTACTAGAAAAAAAAACTTCTGATAAAATAAAGTGAAGATATCAACTGATAAAGAATGTGAGAATACTTTACTTTTAATAAATACTTCCTTTTCAGCTGCGAATACAGTTTTGGAACATTTGAAGAAACTGAATCTTTCGGCATTCAGCATACCTTCAATAAACATTACAACAAGCCATGTCAATTATTCCATTCAAAAGTACAGTTAGTTTTCTTTCCTTTGAACAAACGACCGACTTGTATTCGTTGATTAAGAAAAACGTCATTTAAAAAAAAAGGCATTCATTTCATTTGGTCAGTAACATTACTTATATTATTTATATATATTTCAGCTTAACATATACAGATTATTCCGATCTGGACGCATCTGTTGCCATTCAAGAAAGTGGATTGAACGTATCGATCAAAACTATCTCGGTAAATGCACATGGGAAAATAGAATGTCGCGACAAAGATACAAGGTACTGACCAATCTTAATTATATACAAGTTTATCTTTTAAAAAAGATAGGTGAGATAGCGCCTTAGCAATTTTTAAACACAGAAAGGAAGGTCCGTGATCAAGTGATTTATTTTGCTGAATTTTTAAATGTTTATTGAAGTGTAATAAAGTTATTAATTTTTTGTGAAGTGTATTTTATAAACACATAGGTAAAGAAACGAGAGGGGGGGGGGGGGGGGGGGGCAGTGAAGTTTTTGTGTTGATCCATTGTAGTTTCCAGAGAGTTCCGAATGTGAAGATGTGAAGTAGTTTGGCCCTTTGGGTCATCTTTGTCAACAACTGTTTGGTTAAATGCCATACACATAAGATATTTTTCTTTTATAAATAATGGATTTGTTCGAAATCTGTAGTGTAAATCCTTGTTTATTTAATGATTTTTTTATTTTAACAATTTTTTGCTTGGCTTACATTGTCATCATTGCGAGCATATAGAATATATTTTTACTGTGGTGAGTTATTGGCAAGGATGAGCCAGGGAACCAGTAAAAGGTCACAAGCTCATTGGCCTTGGTGTCATTTGAAAGAACTTAATTAGTGGAGTATGCAAACGCTATTTGAAATCTGTATCTCCTAAGGTTCAAAATTTATAGTGAAAGTTTGAAAAATCTACCCCTAGCAAATAGGTCACAAGGTCATTGGCCTTGGTGTTATTTGAGAGGAGTATATGCATACCAAATGTGAAGTCTGTATCTCCTATGGTTCAAAAGTTATGGTGTACATTTAAGTTTGGAAAAAACTGCTTTAAAGCATAAATTATAGAATACAGTCAGGGTCACAAGGTGATTGACCTTGGTGTAATTTGAAGGAAGTTGATTAGTGGAGTATGCATAATAAACATGAAGTGTCTATTTCTCACCTTTTTTCCCGCGTGAATGTCGTTTCTTTGCTCGGATTTTTCCGTACAATACACGGGAGCCAATTTGACCAAAAATGGGAAATATTCTTTGTATGTGCTAAATCTTAATTTTCCCGCTTCCATGTCGTTTCTTTGTTTAGTTTCCCGCGTGAATGTCGTTTCTTTTTTTTGTGCTCGAATTTTTCCGCAAAATTGATTGAACCGACCAATCAGAAATTAGAATCTATCTTGTGCTTAGACGTAAAAAAAATTTCTTGTCTTTGTGTAGACCGATCAGAAAATGACTCGGGCTTTTCCGTCAGAGAAAGGGAAAAAAACAAGGAACACTTTTTTGACCCTGTGAATTTCTGAAAAACTGAAACTGCTTAATTAGGTTCTTTCCAAACATAAACACGATTATTTTACCCGAAACATATATGAGATTCATCGCTGAATATAACTTTGGACCACTGAGTTTGTACACCCTACCATCTCTTCTCCCTACACCATGCCAAGCGTTTATTTCGGTTACATTTTTAACTAGATGCTGTCATGAGACAGTAATACCCGCACTAAGGTGTTTGCCTCTAAATACACACTCGTACATATATTAGGCTTAAAGCCTTCCAAGGAAAAATTAAAATAATTCTATAATTTACACAGTACATGTATTCGTCACATTGAGTATAACATTCTCAGACCCTGTGACTATGTGACCTATGACTCAGTGCCTCTTATATGTATTTTATATGCTTCATAGGCGTCGGAAGGAAATTGAAAGTTGGGAGGAGGGGGGCTAAACCAACAAAAAAGGTAAACCCAAATTTTCAATACATAGAAAATGTCCATCTTTGCGAAGAAAAAGGGGGGGTTAAGCCCCCCGGTTCAGACGCCTATGTGTAAATTACATTTTAAAAAATGTTTTGCTCATAATGGGTACCTTTTTAAATTTAATAATGCCCCTCCCCCCAAAAAAAAACACCACACACACTCTCACGGACCGTACTTTTTTTTTAATAGGATACACATGACGATGGAAAAGTTATGTTAAAACATAGTTTGTTATGAATGAATTTAAAAAATTTTTCTTGAACTACCCCCAGGTATACATGTTTACATGTAAACACCTTTTGGAAAATTTCTACATTACATTGGGTTGCGTCACCCATTATCATATTTTTAGATTAAGCAGCACTCGGCACACCTCGGCCGATTCGTGCTTCATCTGCATTTAGCCATGGTTTGTCAAATAGGATAGCATGCACATGCTGCAGTGTGATGTGTATTGAAAAAATCATTTTGTGTTATAATTGGATTATATTTCATGAAGTTCACAAGACCTATGACAGTCGGTAAGTACAAGTTTAAGTATAGATTGGGGTAAAATGAACCGAAATGCAAAATTTAGATTAGGTTAAAGTTCAAAGATCATCGCATGCCACAGTATAATCGGATTTCACATTGTGAAGTTATCTCCCGTTGTCGATGTGACATTCAGTTACAGGTGCAGATCCAGATTTTTTTCAGGAGGGGGAGGGGGGTTCACACCCCAGTCAAAAAAATGTCAGCCCAGATTTTTCTCACAAGCAAAGACAAAAAACTGAAAACAAAATAAAAACAATGATAGTGGGGTCGTGGGGTCAATGTTTTCTAAGGGGGATGATGTCCAAAGTAATTTTTTGTTTGCTTCAGTATATAGTCTCATTTAAATAAGAAAGCAAACTCCAGCGGGGGGGGGATCCAATCTCCCTAGCCACTTTCTGTTCATGAAATTGCAATTGATCTTGTGTGACTCCAAAATAGAATTTTTTTTCCATTTGACTATATATATACATATTATGTTTCTTGTGTTTATAAATAAATGTCTGACTGTTTGTCTGCAGAAATTTGATCAGTAATTTGGCTTAAATTTTTTATCAGTAGGTGCTAGGGTTTTCATATGCTTAACATGTGTATTCATTATAAACTTTCAACAGGTATAAATATGTTTGACCTTGGCCCTAGAGTTAGACCCATTTAAAAAAAAAAAGAAATTAACCTTGTCAATTAACTTTTGAACAGGAAGTACTAGGGATTTCTTTATATTTCACATGTGTATTCCTTGTGACAAGACTTTGACCTTGACCTTTGAGTTTGACATACATTTGAGAAACTTCAACCTTCGCCATAAGCTGCCATACGTGGGCATCAGTGTTTAACAAACACATCTTGTCTTCATTACTTTTAAGCGGCGGTGTCTCCATATGAGGGAAAAATTCCAGAGAGAGATGTTTTCACAACAAACAAACAAATTACTAAAAATAACATAAAACATGAACATGTTGGTTGTATCTCTTGTTCTCTCTTGAATCAGAAATGATTACATAAATATTTTAAAAATAATTACATGTATTATAAGATTTGAAAAGGTTGTGCATCTTAAAATTGACTAAGTTCTGTGGTTGAATTAGCTATAAAAGTTTACTAGCTTTATTTTGCTACTCAAAACACCTTGATTAACTATTTTCAATGATACTGTTTTCTGAAATGTTCAGTTTTTTCAACAATGGATACATATGTCATACATTTTCAGTTTCTCAAAAAATTTCTTGAAAAAAAAGCTTTTCAAATACTGTAATCATGGTAACCTTTACAAAATACATGTGAATCCTATGTTTTTAGCTCATTTGAGCTTTTCAGGTTTTTTTTTTATCACATTACGTCTGTCCTCCATTTGTTTGTATGGAAACTTTACATTTTTAACTTGTCTACAACCACTGGGCCAATTTTTAACAATTCACATTGAAATCAGTATATGTACATCTGTATGTCAGTCTGTCAATTTAACCTTGGTCATCACAGTCATATCTATTGAATGAGAAGAGACAAGGCATTTGTATTAAACATATGTATAATTAGTATTTACCTGTGACAATGCCATGATTTTTTTTACCCATGACCTTGAAGTTTGACCTACTTGCAAAAAAATTACATTGTTTTAAATTCATCATTTTGAAAGAATTCATATTATACATGTATGTTATATTATTACCTATGATAAGACCTTTCTAACTAAATCATGAATCTGTGACCTTGACCTTGAAGCTTAACCTACTTTTCAAAATGTTGCATTTGCTTTTAACTTTGGATTGAGAAGAGATATGACTTTCACATTTGACATGTACAATACTCGTAAGAATTCAAGATGTTTCCCAGCATGCTATGATTTTTTACCCTATGATGTTGATGTTTTACCTAATTTTCAAAATATTTAACTCTCATAAAAGATGATCAGGCTACTGATTTGACCCCCCAGGACAAAATCAAAATTCTGAAACCTTACTGCACATCTACATCACACCAGCAACCATCTCCAAAAAGATGATTAGGCTGCTGAGTAAAATGTAGAAGGAGTTCAGGGAAGACGGGGCTTTTAGCATAAAAAACATCATTTTTCTACCCCCATTTGACCCCCGGGGCAAAATCAAAATTCCAAAACCTTACTGCACATCTACATGACACCACCAACCATCTCCCAAAAGATGATTAGGCTGCTGAGTAAAATGTAGAAGGAGTTCAGGGAAGACGGGGCTTTTAGCATAAAAAACGTCATTTTTCGACCCCCATTTGACCCCCTGGGGCAAAATCAAAATTCCGAAACCTTACTGCACATCTACATGACACCACCAACCATCTCCCAAAAGATGATTAGGCTACTGAGTAAAGTGTAGAAGGAGTTCAGGGAAGACGGGGCTTCTAGCATAAGAAACGTCATTTTTCGACCCCCATTTGACCCCCCGGGGCAAAATCAAAATTCCGAAACCTTACTGCACATCTACATGACACCACCAACCATCTCCAAAAAGATGATTAGGTTGCTGAGTAAAATGTAGAAGGAGTTCAGGGAAGACGGGGCTTTTAGCATAAAAAACCGTCATTTTTCAACCTCTATTTGACCCCCCGGGGCAAAATCAAAATTCCGAAACCTTACTGCACATCTACATGACACCACCAACCATCTCCAAAAAGATGATTAGGTTGCTGGGTAAAATGTAGAAGGAGTTCAGGGAAGACGGGGCTTTTAGCTTAAAAAACGTCATTTTTCGACCCCCATTTGACCCCCTGGGGCAAAATCAAAATTCCGAAACCTTACTGCACATCTACATGACACCACCAACCATCTCCCAAAAGATGATTAGGCTACTGAGTAAAGTGTAGAAGGAGTTCAGGGAAGACGGGGCTTCGAGCATAAGAAACGTCATCTTTAGAAAGTGCGGGTTTTTATTTGACCCCCTGGGGCAAAATCAAAATTTGAAACCTTACTGCACATCTACATGACACCACCAACCATCTCCAAAAAGATGATTAGATTGCTGAGTAAAATGTAGAAGGAGTTCAGGGAAGACGGGGCTTTTAGCATAAAAAACGTCATTTTTCAACCCCTATTTGACCCCCCGGGGCAAAATCAAAATTCCAAAACCTTACTGCACATCTACATGACACCACCAACCATTTCCCCAAAGATGATTAGGCTGCTGAGTAAAATGTAGAAGGAGTTCAGGGAAGACAGAGCTTTTAGCATAAAAAACGTCATTTTTCGACCCCCATTTGACCCCCCGGGACAAAATCAAAATTCCGAAACCTTACTGCACATCTACATGACACCACCAATCATCTCCCCAAAGATGATTAGGCTGCTGAGTAAAATGTAGAAGGAGTTTAGGGAAGACGGGGCTTTTAGCTTAAAAAACATCATTTTTCGACCCCCATTTGACCCCCGGGGCAAAATCAAAATTCCGAAACCTTGCTGCACATCTACATGACACCACCAACCATCTCCCAAAAGATGATTAGGCTGCTGAGTAAAATGTAGAAGGAGTTTAGGGAAGACGGGGCTTTTAGCTTAAAAAACATCATTTTTCGACCCCTATTTGACCCCCCGGGGCAAAATCAAAATTCCGAAACCTTACTGCACATCTACATGACACCACCAACCATCTCCCAAAAGATGATAAAGCTACTGTGTAAAATGTAGGAGGAGTTCAGGGAAGAAAAGTGTGACAGACGGACGGACGGACGGACATGAGTAACAACGAATGCTGGACAACTCGCCCCCAAGACAACTCGCCCCCAAGACAACTCGCCACCTTTTCAGGACAACTCGCCCCCAATTTAGGACAACTCGCCCCCTGTTAAGACAACTCGCCCCCAGCTTTAAGAAAGCAAATGGAGAGGGATATTTTTTATATAAATGTATATACTTTTTATTTTATATATATATATTTATATTATTTCGATATTTATTTTTATTTTAAATGTTTCTGGCGTCAGTTACCCTAAAAAATTGTACTCCTCTCCTCACGTGAGATGCCTGAAAAAGAAATATGTTTTAGATTAAATTCATCAATATTTGCATTTATGCGGTCATTTATGCCTATAACATTGCGCCTAAAAAAGGAGAAGATACGATTAATATAATTTTTTTCTATGAAATTAAAATGTTTATTTTTTTATGTAATATTACATATATTTTTTTTATTGAATTATTTTAATGTGATTTTTTATTTCAAGTTATTTGTTTCCAACTCAAGCTTTCTTGAATTCTTCATCTCTTTAAGGTTTTAAGTTGCTTCGGTGCTTGGATACACCAATTTTTTCTTCATTACTTTAAAGCTGCTTTGGAGCTTGGACAAGCCAATTTTTGATCAACTAAATGTACATAATTTTCGGAGCTTGCTTGTCCAAATTGATCATCACTTTGAAGATCCAAATTACTTGTGAGCTTGGGGATTTCATTAAAATTCTGTTTGATGTTTTCATTTCAGTTTTCATAAGTTTCCTAAAAGCCGATCGTCGATGGAATATCATTATTATGTCATTAAATAATTAAGATTGTTCAACTTAGAACATTGTAATTGATTTACCTAGACATATTCTACAGATAAAAATTTAAAACAATATGATAAATCAAAATGCATTTAGGTATTTGCTTTATTTCATAAGAAAAAAGTCTAAGGAAATAAAAAATATTTTATACATATACTGTGTTTACTTTATATTTGAAAAAAAACCCCAAACAAATAACAACAAATTACACACACAATCGTAAATATTAATTTTATTTTACTTATAATAAATATCAATTATAAATCATAAATTAATTTTGCATTTAAAATATATTTTAGTGAATAATATATGTCGTTTTTTACTTGCAATACACAATGAAATATAATGGGGGCGAGTTGTCCTAAATTGGGGGCGAGTTGTCTTAACAGGTGTTGGGGGCGAGTTGTCCTGATTCCGTAACAACAATATACCCGAACTTTCTTTAGAAAGTGCGGGTATAATCACAACTTTTTTGTTATACAAATCTCTAGTGAAACCATTTTCTTTAAGTCTACGTTTGACAGTCTTCTGAGACACAGATGTTGCTCTGTTTTCATTAAATCGCGCTGTAATTTCACTAAGGGTGCTCTCCGATCTCTATTAACAATCCTCTGGAGCCTCCCATAGTCCCGATCGTCAATAGAACGAGGCCGACCCGATCTTTGCAAATTTTCCACTGATCATGTGTCTTGATATTTGTACAAAACGGTACACTGAAGCCAGAGACCTATTGACACTTCTTGCAATCGCTGACATTATAACTTGTTTCAAAGGATTTGAGAGTTCCTGACGTTTCGTCTCCATTTTGTTACCGAGAAAGATCGTGAATGATAGAACTGTTTCTTAGGATAAAAAGGCATGTTTTATTTTTTAGCTCAGAAAGTGCGCTCATATTACTTTTCTTCATTGAAAGTACTCAAATATATCTTTTACCTTAAAATTCAAAGAACATTGCAAGTTCAAAAAGCCAGTTCTCCTAGACCTGGACTTTTAGAAGAAAAGTTTTGATAGGAAATGAAAGCACTAAGTCTCTATTTTATTTCAATGCTTCAAATGAAACATCAAGTGTTCATTAATCATTTGGTATATCTACAGGGCCATTTTATGCATGACATGAACCGAGCTCTTTGAAGTATTACAAGTATGTAGTTATCTTTAAAGTGTAAGCTACACGATAAATAAACAGTTATTTAATGATACAACGAAATTATCATCGCACGGTCTATCTATAGTAGTTTTCACAGTTTTTCCCAGAATGCACGGCCGTGAAGCCGAGCATGCGTTCCAGGAATTTGGACTAACGTAGTTGCTAGCGCTCGAGAGCGTTAGCAAACGAGTAAAAATTTTATTTTAAGTCGAACTTATTATCATCAGTCATTCGGGAGAGGAAAAACAAGCAATTCTTAAAGTACTCTACAGGAACACCTTTTTCATCAGAGTCACTTGAACTTATATTTCAAAAAATATATAATATATTATAACTTTCTTCTTTAGAAATGTACAGTCCTGTGGGCTAACAATGACGATCTCGGGATCAGGAAATTTCCTAGCGTACATAGGTAAAACCTAATTTGTTACACTGTTCCGAATTCAAGTTACACAGAAACTTGCTTTGGCAGATTAGTATTTGAGGGGTCTTGCTCATTTTTCTTAAATATCTAAACTTCGGTATCTCTGCACGTGAGAGTATGAAAAGTTATAATTATAATAATGAATAATTTTAGTTTTTCTTGGAATTTTTTTATGTTACAAATTTTTTCGAAGCAAATTATTCGCATGGTATGTAGAAGTTTATCGTAAACCAATCAAGTGATTCCAAGAGCTTGGACGATACAACTCTTTATCATACCTCTACTGATTTTTTCCTGTATAAAAGTTAGGCAGTAAAATATGAATAATTCCCTAGAAATCTCTCTGAATGGGCAAGTCCCCGTGCGTTAGTCAAATGAGCTAATCCCTGCTTTGGAAGCTAATTTCCCGGTTATCCGTATCTCTTTAGGTAAAATAATGGACTAATCACTGTGCGGTAGTCCGGAAGCTAATTCCCCGTCATTCGTAATCCTCCATCATTTTTTAAAAACTTTTGTATCGGTATGATAAAACAGTTAAAAAGTATATCATTGAGGGAGTTAGCAAGATTCCAGTTCCCCTTGACTAGGACTATTTCCCTCGGCTGCGCCTTGGCAAATAGTCCTGGATTTGGGGAACTGGAATCTTGCTAACACCCTCAATGATACACTTTAACTGTATACTATATCGATATGTACCACGATATTTGAGTCATTATACGAAATGTATCACGATGTCTTATTTAATTGGTTAAAAAAACTGTTATTTGTATTAACTGTATCAAAGATTTCTTCACAATTAAGAATTCATTCAAATAATTAGTATATCTGTTGTAAAAAAAAATTAACAAATAAATTTGTTTTGTACATGTTAATATTTAACGCATTTATTTTAAATATCAAACCCATAATGTTCAGTATGTGACCGAAGAAAAGTGTGTTGCTATACTTCGCTAACGTGCATTTATCAATATGCACGTACATTGTAATAGACGTCCTCACACAGAATCGATACATGTGTTATCGATATTTCGTGCCGGTCCTAGATTTATTCCAGTATTAGAGTATTTCTTCCTAATACAGACAGGATATCTTACAAGACTAAAATTCCTCCTTTATTTGTTGTTTATAGATTCGCAGTGTATACTTCAGTTACTCCATTGGCAAGACTTTGTATGCTATACATTTATTTATCATTTTGTTCTTGACAAAATATAAAGGGAATACTACAAAGGGTAGATTTGATGTGTGGGTGAAACAGGAAAAGGACAGCTGCATCATTCCTCCGCCAAATCTTACGATGAAATACACAGGATGTCGAAAACCTGAAGAGGCCTTATGTGCGGCAAATTCCACGGAACTCGTAGAAAAAATTAAAAAGGAACGATTCAGCGAGGCTGAGGTAATTGAAGTGTTTCTATATTGAATAATAAAAATGGGAATTCTGTGATGGATTTCTAAATATAATCAAAGTTGACAAATTTAATCGAAGTATTGAAAGAACTGAAAGCCGGGCTTTAATTGCTCGATTATATTGTCTGATCTGAAATTAGTATATATTTTATTTTTTTCCTTTTGGTCATTGATTTTTAGCAGGTAGAGTCTGTATGATTATGATTTAAAATAATATCCCATATACCAGTAATTAAAATTAACAGGCCAGACCCTAAGATATAAAAAATAATAATTATATTTCCAAGGAATTCTCGCATATTTTCTCTTCAATAAGCATTTTTTTTTCTCATAATTTAAAAATTCAGTCTTGAAATCGTTAAGATTATGCACATGTGTATTTTATAGACATTCTAACAGTACACTTTTATCGTCAACTATATGTAGTTCTAAACACTGATATATGTACATTGTCAAGCGACTTCACGCATGTTAATTCTTAGAAATCCAATACACTGTACTATTCATTTGCTAAAGATCAAAACAGAATATAGCCACTAAAATAACATCGACGAAAAAGATATGAAACATGCAGCTCTTCGACAATTTCAACATCTGAAAAGGCCGCGTTATTGAAAATAGTTTGCTTACATTATGCATTCAGCAGCGTATATGCACAAATTGTTATTTCTAGACTATCCCAATAAAGCAAATATCTTATTTCTTCACGCCAACGATTGGGATGTTAAAAATATTTGTTTGAATATCGTCTCGCAATGGGACTATTTTGTTTATCGGAAGCGTCTGCTTTGACGCTTTTTGGTTTGTTGTTTACTGTGCTATTTATAGTAAGTCAGTCGATCATGATGCCTATAGCCAGGAGTTTGCTTTCAGTAAACCCCAGCTAATTATTGACACGAAAAAAGCTCAATTCATTTAATACTATGGTGAATTTCTAAATATAAACAAAGTTGACAGATTAAATTATTGACACGAAATAAAGCTCAATTCATTCAATACTAAATGATTTTTAACTTGAATGATTGAAACAAGTCAATGAAACAATGATATCAAAAGTCTCATCTGTGGTCGATAAAATGATCTAATTAATACTAGCACGAAGTCGAATGCCAACTGTTCCTTATATGATTGTTTACTCCCCATTTGATCATGATTACTGTTCGTTGCTAGTGTCATTTAGATTAATACTACTTTTACCTACATGTATATATTACATGTTAATTTATAATCTTAGTGATTGCAAATAAAATATGATTCGAAAAGTGTACAAATTATCTAGAATGACTTTCATTTTTGTTTGCTAAGAACTGATTTGAAACACGCAATTATATTTTCTTCCAGATGTGTACATTATTACGTTTCTATTTCTTTACGAGAGGCAACAAAGAAATGAACAATATTAATTGTAAGTCTATTCCATCTAATGATTATAATCTCATAATCATAATGCCATGTTTTAAATTTTGAATTCAATCGGATATTGAGAGCAGAAATTTCCGCTTTTTACTATGGCGCCGGTTCTGACATAATCTTGGCACGTCAAATATCAAAATCGTAATTAAAAACAACAAAAAAACAAAAAACAAACAAACAAACAAACAAAACAAACAAACAAAAAAAGCCTAGAAAAGTTGTTGATCTTTTTACTTAAATGACTTATGAAATAACGAAGTTGAAAATTTTGTAGTTTCTCCAACCTATTTAATTCAAAATTTTTACAGTATACCTAAATCTTTAACGTTGTATGGGTAAATCACTTTAGGCTGTTCAGATATAATTGGCTTCGACCAAAAAAATCAAAAAGGAATTTTATTCTAATAATTTTGTTACAATTATAGTGACACCAAGGATAGGCAACACAACATTTATCGGAGACCTCCGGTTGCAGGAGGAGCCAAAATATGAGTCCAGATTTGTAAATTTTTATCACAAGGTACATGTAATTAATATTTAAGTGTTCATATTCTTTTTAGCTACAGAACTATTTCTCTGCGTGAGAAAATTTGGATAGAAAAATTAAAGAGTTACAGAGCCAAGCATTGATTTGTAATTATAATCTTCGACTTACGCTGCCGCTTTTTTGTCGCTCACCTAAGATATTATTTCTTGCAATCTATGCTTTCCCCCAATTCTAGAATGGTATTCAACAATTAATAATTTTTTTTATCCTACAATGTTATATTGATAGTTTATTCACCTTTCAGCGGTACAAAACAGTCCTATATAATTTTCAAATTTCCGTTTAAAAGATTCCCATTTCAACGTCTGTAACCACAAACGACCTTTTAAAACCGTTCAAAGGTAAATGAAATATCAGGAATAGGCGTTGATTGTACTGGATAATTATAAAGTACAATTTCTAAAACAGTTGAAAGCATTATATACAAGAAATAATATTCCAAGTGAGTGACGAAAAGTGGCGGCGTAAATTGAAGGTTTTTACAACGCTTGGATCGGTAGCTCTCTGGATTATCTGTCCGAATTTTCTCAAACGGAGAACTACAGTTCTGCAGCAAATGCTTTTATGCCACGTAATCGAAAATTCAAGGGCATATAGTTTTTGTTATGTCCGTCCACCTGTCTGTCTATTTGTTTGTCCGCAAAAACTTTGCCCATAACTTTTGATTAAATGGAGATATAATTTTCATATTTTACATGTGCATTCCTTGTGACAAGACCTTTCTTTATCAAAGTTGACCTTGAGCTTGGAATTTGACACTCTTTTACACAAAAATTCTAAACTTTGGCCGTAACATTTGAAAAATAGATACTAGATATTACATACTTCATATACATCTATTCTTCGTGACAAGCTAAGACCTTTCATTTGATATACCAAGTACTTTGACCTTGGAGTTTAACCAACTTTTTAACCAGAAGTCTCTGTCGAGACTGTAGCTCTACTAGTTTGTACTTATAACAAAGGATGAGAAAAGAAGTCATTGCCATCAGACCAAAAATGTAGGAGTAGCGTTTTAATGGAATTTCACAGATATTTATTTCTATTTTTAGTAATAATGGCAACACTGTTCATCGAAATCAAAAACTGATGTTCTATTTTATGTATCTTAGTGTGGTCTACTTGTGTGCCAAGTTATATTGAAATCAGACCAAAATTGTAGAAGGTGTAGTGTTTTAAAGGAATTTCACAGAAAATTCTATTTTTAGTAACCATGGCAACAATGTTCATCCAAATCAAAATCCGATGCACTATTTTATGTATCTTAGTGTAGTCTACTTGTGTGCCAAGTAATATTGAAATCAGACCAAAAATGTAGATGGAGTAGCATTTTAAAGGAATTTCACAGAAAATTCTATTTTTAGTAACCATGGCAACACCGTTCATCGAAATCAAATACCGATGCACTATTTTATGTATCTTAGTGTAGTCTACTTGTGTGCCAAGTAATATTGAAATCAGACCAAAACTATAGAAGAAGTAGCGTTTTAAAGGAATTTCACAGAAAATTTTATTTTTAGTAACCATGGCAAAATGGTTAATCGAAATCAAAAACTGATGCACTATTTTATGTATCTTAGTGTAGTCTACTTCTGTGCCAGTTTATATTGAAATCAGACCAAAACTGTGCGAGAAGTAGCGTTTTAAAGGAATTTCACAGAAATTTCTATTTTTAGTAACCATGGCAACACCGTTCATCAAAATCAAAATCCAATGCACTATTTTATGTATCTTAGTGTAGTCTACTTGTGTGCCAAGTTATACTGAAATCAGATCAAAACTGTAGGAGGAGTAGCCTTTTAAAGGAATTTCACAGAAAATTCTATTTTTAGTAACCATGGCAACATGGCTCATCGAAATCAAAAACCCATGCACTATTTTATGTATCTTAGTGTAGTCTACTTGTGTGCCAAGTTATATTAAAATCAGATCAAAACTGTAGGAGGAGTAGCGTTTTGAAACATTGTTTACAGACAGACGGACAGACAGACAGATGGACGGACGACGGACACCTTACTATCGCATAAGCTCTTCTGGTCTCTGACCAGTAGAGCTAAAAACAAACGTTGAATATAACTTTTGAAGGGTTAGGACTATGGCTTTCATACTTTACATATTTAATACTTGTGACAAGACCTTTCATTGGATACCTAGAACTTTGACCCTTTAGCCTAGGAGTTTTACATACTTTTTAAAAACTTTAACCTTAGCAATAACTTTTGAAATATTGTTCCTTTTAAAGTGTAATAGTTTCCAAACTTTTTTCCAACCTCTTGCAGATATTGAGCTGAATTTTGGTATGTCAGTGTATCGATCTTGATGAGTTACAGAACAACTAATATTTTGTTTTATTTCAATGATATTTGAGTAAAATTACATACAGCCTATGAAATTTATGTGAACTTACAGACCCTGAGACGTGCTACTACCCCACACGCTCGCTGCACGAACGGTACACGAACGCTACACGGTTTGCATGAAACGCTGCACGGTTTACACGAAACGCTACACGGTTTGCACGAAACGCTACACGGTTTACACGAAACGCTTTGCACGAAAGGCTGCACGAAACGCTTTGTACACGTTTCTCACACGCTTTGTACACGATCCTCGCACGTTTTGGCCTCGGTTTGGATTTTTCTACTCGGAATATCTCGGGCATTATTACCGTTTTATCATTAATCCAATGGAAATTTTTCACAAAGCCACTCTAAGCAGCTGTTTAAATTAAATTTCAGTACACTTGTATTATATAAACCGATAGAAATATTTAATCCTCTGACAGTTGTAATTAATTGATAAATAATTGTCAGTTCGAATTTATTTATTTATTTATCTAACTGTTTAAAAACGAAATGCCGATATCATGAATGACTTTTTAATAAAATACAATTTTTATATACAGGTATTAGTCATTCATTTCTTTATTTAATATTTTTACGAGTATTATTTAATAAATTAAACACAAATTCGATTTCTTACCGCAGGAATATAAACTCATTGATTTTTAATAATATTGAATATAATGTGTTTGATTTTCGTAGGCGGATTATTTTTCGTAATTTTGATTTTAAATTAGTAATAATATTTGCCTATATACTCTATTAACGATTATTGATATATTTTTAAAGATTTTTTTTTATTTTACGCAAGCATTATCAATAGGAGGGAAACCGGTAAAGGGGGGGGTTAATGTGATCTATTAATCTATTCTTTCCTCTTTCTCTTTTTACATGAAGCTTATCAAATAACATCAGTATACCCATCATACTGTAAAATCCTTCATTTCAAAACAGGACTAAACGTATGTATATATGTGTACATCTATTAATAGTCGCGGCATTTGACTATACATTGTACATACAATATAGATCGATCTTTACACCGGCATTCAGGTATATTACAAGAAAACTGAAATATCTTAGATGAAATAAAAAGTACGTGATTTATAAAACAAATAATATACAATTATTCATGCTTTACTCCTAAGCTTTTCTGACATGATATTCATGAAAAGACTACCAAATCAGTTCTGTTTATTTTACTGTTTACGGCTAGAAATTCGGATTTACAAATAAAAGATGAAATCGGCTGATTTATAAGTTGTACCCATTAAATATTTATAGAACCATTTCATTTAAAAAAAATAATAAAATCCAGTCGTAATTTTCAGGTGTCATTAAGTCGTGAACTCAACATGTACATATAGCAAAACAGGTTTTCAGTTGCCATGCACTCGGAGCCCGTGATCGCTGTTGTAAATGACCTTGATCACACTTGAAAGGCGGAAAGAAGATTCCAATACATTTTTTAAGGGGTGTATCTGCGCACACATTTAACAAAGGATTTAAAAAAGAATAGAAAATTAAGCATTTGCTTAAACTAACATTAGATTGAAAGTTACAACAAAAATCAAAGTACTCAGAAGTACAGAGAGCCGGGCTCATTTACAGAGTAGAATGGATTTCTTACATGAATCACGTTTATATTCTGAGAAAAAAATTATTTTAAAACTATTAATATAAATGATAAGACACTGACAGTGAGTTTTTCAATCCTAATACCACGGTCCGGTTTTGTCAGAATCAGAATTAATCTGGTACCGCAGCTGAATGTAAACAAACAGGCCAGTCTGGTTCCCTCTCCTGTTTTACGTCGTATGTGTAGAGAACTACGGTAACACTGATTATCAAAAATCCTAACGCTAATGAACTATGTTTTTTTACTTATGAAGTTTTCAAAGTCATTACTACTGCATGTAATGTTTATTTTATATAGATAAAACTTCGTATTATATTTGTTGCTTTATTTAGCGTTTGTATTATCACAAAAGCGGTTGAGAGTAAGAACTATATTTTTGCACGTAACTTTAAAATGGCGACTATGGGGTCAACATCCTGCCTTGAACAGGATCCCATAAGCCGGCAATTGCTCTTTGAGCAATAAGCCCGGCTAAAAATGAAAGACTGTACTAGTAATTTAATTTAACCCCCCCCCCCTTCGTTTATAAAGATGTGGTCGTCAGTGCATGTGAATTAAATTATAAAATCCATTTATTTGACAATAATGAGCAACAAGTTTTATGTATTAAAAAGTATTAAATGAAACATCGTTTCAAATGTAAAGACAAGAGTGGAGTCCTGATATATTTTTGCTTTAAATCAAAAAAAAATAATACCGGTATTTCTTTCTTTCTTTGAGAAAAAATATTTAAGAAGCCATGATTGCGTTGATAGTATATTGAATTCAATGCCCTTAAAATTGTTGTACATAGTTGATTAATTAGAACGCATTTTCTATAGAAGGCAAAGAAATCAAACAAAATTAGTGTAAATTATACATTACCGTGATTGCATTTTGTTGTTCCATTTTTTTTTTTTGTTTTTACTCCTATAATATCACAAGCATAACTAATTCAATAATAGAATACTAATAGAATTTTACATCCTGACCCATCGATAGCCATATTTAAAATGAAATGACTTCCGAATGAATCTTACACGATTCTTGCACGAAAGTCGCACGTTTCTCACACGGTTCTTACACGAAAATCGCACGTTTCTCACACGCTTTTCGCACGCTCGCTACACGGTTTGCACGAAACGCTTTGGAGCTTACACGAAACGCTGCACGGTTTACTCGAAACGCTACACGGTTTGCACGAAACGCTGCACGTTTTACACGAAACGCTACACGGTTTGCACGAAACGGAAAGCGCACGAAAGTCACACGCTTTTTTGGGGTAGTAGCACGTCTCAGGGTCTGTAATTACACTTGCCGTTTTGGAACTAATGGAATACTCTCGGGATGCGTGCTACATAGTACTATAATTATTACCTTTAATTTTACTTTTTGATCTGACACTTACATGTATTTCGGGTCTCCGAGCTAGCTGGAGCAAAACATGGACTTTGCCATCATAATCATATGGGAGTCGGGGTGTCATTTAGTGAGCTCAGTGTTCACAGTATCTGTAGTTTGATACAAAGCTTGCTAGTAGAAAAAAAGTTTGTTCAACAAATGAATTTCCTCCACATAAATTTATTAACGATGTAAACAAGATGTGTTTGTAAAATACTGATGCCCACGTATGACAAAAGTATGTTAAAGTTTTTTAAAAAGTACTGGTAGCTAGGTCAAACTTCAAGGTCAAGGTCAAAGATCAAAGTTCTTGATATCAAATAAAAGGTTTCCTCACAAGGATTACATAACTTAAGTTTGAAAGCCCGAGCCCTTACCGTTCAGAAATAATGGCCGGTTTAAGTCGTCAAAAGTACGGAAATCTCCAAGGTCAAAAACAAAAGGTCAAAGTTGTTGATAATCAATGAAAGGCCTTGCTACAAAGAAAACTTATGTGAAGATAAAAGTCCTAGTATCTACCATAAAGTAAAAGTTTGGACTTTTTAGGTCACCTGAGTAAACTCAGGTGACCTATTGCTATCCGTTTTCGTCCGTCGTCGTGCGTCGTCTGTCGTCCATCGTGTGTTAACATTTGAACATTTTCAGCTTCTTCTCTGCAACCACTGCACCAATTTCAACCAAATTTGGCACAAAGCATCTATGGCTGAAGGGAAACAAAAATTGTGAATTTCATGATCCCTGCCCCCCTGGGGCCTGAGGGGTGGGGCCAAAACCACTAAAATTAATGCAATCTTTAAAAATCTTCTTCTTTACTCCTGGACATCAAGCAGTCAAACTGTTTGCATGATTGTAATCAGCATTGAGTCCTCTACCAAAATTGTGAAATTCATGGCCCTGGGGTCAGGGGTTCTAGTGCTAGGGCGGGGCTAAATAAGTATATAGTGAAAATGCATTATTTCTTTGAAAATCTTCTTCTCTGCTCCTGGGTATTAAATAAACCAACTAAGTACATAGTTATGATGAGCAAGAGTGCCTCTACCAAAATTGTGAATTTTATGGCCCCAGGGTCAGGGGTTCTGGTGTTAGGGTGGGGCTCTATTGATTATATATAGTGAAAATACATGAATTCTTTGAAAATCTTCTTCTCTGCTCCTGGGTATTAAATAAACTAACCAAGTACATAGTTATGATGAGCAAGTGTCTCAGCCAAAATTGTGAATTTTATGGCCCCAGGGTCAAGGATTCTGGTGTTGGGGGCGGGGGGGCTCTATTGATTATAAAGTGAAAATACATGAATTCTTTGAAAATCTTCTTCTCTGCTCCTAGGTATTAAATAAACTAACTAAGTGCATAGTTATGATGAGCAAGAGTGCCTCAACCAAAATTGTAAATTTTATGGTCCCAGGGTCAGGGGTTCTGGTGTTGAGGAGGGGGGGGGGCTCTATAGATTATATAGTAAAAATACATGAATTCTTTGAAAATCTTCTTCTCTGCTCCTAGGTATTAAATAAACTAACTAAGTGTATAGTTATGATGAGCAAGGGTGCTTTTACCTAAATTGTGAATTTTATGGTCCCAGGGTCAGGGGTTCTGGTGTTAAGGCAGGGCTAGTTTGATTATATATTGAAAATACGTGAATTCTTTGAAAATCTTCTTCTCTGCTCCTAGGAATTAAATAAACTAACTAAGTACATAGTTATGATGAGCAAGAATGCCTCTTCTAAAATTATGAATTTTATGGCCCCAGGGTCAGGGGTTCTGATGTTAGGGCGGGGCTCTATTGATTATATAGTGAAAATACATTAAATCTTTGAAAATTTTCTTCTCTGTCTCTGGGTATGAAGCAGATGAACTACCTATATAGTCATGGTGAGCAAGGGCCCTAATCTTGCAGAATTGTGAATTTCAAGGACCCTGGGTCAGGGGTAGGGGAGGGGGGGGGGGCTCTACTTAAATACTGAAAATGAATTAAATGTTTGAAATCTGCTCCTTTATATTTATAAAACATTTATTTATTTTTTGATAGGCAATTTTAAGAGTGCCTTTTTAAAATTTGTGCAATGTGTGGACCTAGGGTCAGGGGTTTATGTCACAGTGTTAGGGGCACTACTGATTATTGCTGAATATTACTGATTAGTTGGAATGCATTTTTGTTCCCCTACCCTGCGTATGGGTATTTAGTAACCAAGCTAAGCAACTGCTAAGTGTACTGTTATGATGATCAATGGTGCCTCTTTCAAAATTGTGAATGCCATATATCATCTGGCTTAAGTTAAAACATGAATCAAATTCAATAACTGGAAAGTTGTTGCATAATGCTCAGGTGACCTATAAGGCCCGTGGGCCTCTTGTTGTGTAAAAAGGGGGTTAGACTCCAAGGTCAAGGTCAAGAGGACAAATTTGTTGGTAACCAAAGAAAGGTTTTGTCCCAAGAAATACACGTCGTGTGAAATACATGTATGAAAGTCATATCTCCATCCAATCAAAAGTTATTGCCAAGGGTAAAGATTTTTAGGACAAACAGACAGATAGACAGTCGGACGGACAAAAAATATATATATATATCACCGAATCTTCGATCACGGGGACATAAAGATGTAAATAGAAAAAAAACTTAGAAATTCAAAAAAAAAAATTTATTGCTTAAAACGTGAAAACTCGGTTCTATTTTACACAATTTAGGATGAAATTGCAACTCCTTGCATTACATCCTAGTGTGAAATTATAACTTGTATTCTAGGGTGAATTGCTATGGTATCCAACCTTGGAGGAATATTACAATCGGAAAACAGTCAATTATACTCTGCATAATGACTCATCAAAAATGGTATACATATGGATCTCTAAAGATGTAGTTCAGAATTTGTTCAAAGGTGTTCAAACTCATGGGATGTTATGCTACACTATTACCCCAGAGAAGGTAAGTGTTGTAGTCCAAATAAGGGAAAAAAATATGCCTTTAGATACTGATGTCGGACAACTTTGTGGGATTTTGAATCCTCGTGAATTCCCTTTCACTCTTGAAATGATTTTTTTTCAATAATCTCCTTTTTTAAAGTGTTAATACTTTAAAGATCTCTCTTTCTCAGTTCTACATTTTTAATGATAAAAAGTGTCCAAATAAATTACATGATAAAAAGGATTCATAAGCATATATCACTTACAAACTTTTAATATCTGTAAAAGCACATATATTCGTTGGGGATTAAATTATATTTATTTCGTTGTAAACTATTATCAACGAAATTAAATCCCACACAAATTCTTTATATGCCTATTTATTGGGTAAGGTAACTTTCGAAACAACGAAGTTAATTGCAGACGAAACCTTTCTGGATGACAGATCAACTTACACACGTTTCTACGTTATGCAGTAATTAGAAATATTAAGCTTTATATATTTACACCTTAAAGACCCTAAACATATGATAAGAAGAATCAATTATAAGACATTTTTCCATATACATGTAAAAACAACTTTAAAATTTGATTTTATATTATCGTTTGATTTCTTAGCTTGGTCCAGGAAATCCGGGATTGAATATTTCATGTTCCAAGGGTGTTTGTGTAGGACGTCTAGTGCCAGAGGTTTGTTTTACAATGCGGAACAATATTTCTTTGTGCATGTATAATGGTTAAGATTTTGTCAACCACTTTTAAAAACTTGTTCCACACAGAATTTACACTTATTTCGATCCAAACGAAAAGGAAAATTTGCAGTTACGAAAAACATCCTGTACTGGATAAATTCCCCAAAACCTGTTTGCTTTCCTAGCTTTTTTGGTCCACTTCAAAATGGTAAAATCAATGGTTGCGACATACTTGAAGTGAAATTCGATATTTCCCAAAGGCTTCCATTTTCACACTTATGAAGCAAAACTACTTCACGTCCACTTTTTAGTGTTTTGAATTTTTAAAAAAAATCTATTTTTTATCCCCATCGCCGATGACTGGCCAACATCTCTTTCACTTCCTTTTTGTTGTCGCATTTCAAAAAGAAACTTAAAATCCGTGACACCCAAGTCTATCGCAGAGCTGTAGATGCATCGCCTGTATTGGTATGTAGGTAAACTGAAATATTGAGACAACTCAAATTAAGATATCGGAATCAATCTCCATATTATATCATAGATCTATTAGAAGGTTTAATCGTCCAGCTTATCTTGGCAACAACTGGAAATCAAATTTCTACAGACATTGAAATATATCAAACAATCTGAAAAAATCTTCGACATTTTGGGCCTGAAAAGCTGAGATTTATGTGGAAGCTTTTTAAAATATATTCTAAATTATTATAGACCCCTGGATTAGGGTTTGGCCACCATGGAGAATCAAAATTTTACATTGAAATATTTAGGAAAACGCATTGAAAATCAGAAAAGCTAAAACGTACATGGAAGCTTTTTGAATCAGACTAAATGTAAATTCTAGACTGTTCATGCCCCACGGATAGGATGGAGCCACGATAGGGAATCAAAGTGTATACGAAGGGACAAAGTGACTCAAATGAGCGTTGTGGCCCATGCTAAATTTAAAAAAATTGTTTCTTAAATTTTTGTCATAGCTAGAAGATAAATATCCAAATCAATATATGGATTTGGACATCTACAGTTTGGAAACACCAGACGTGACATTTGAGAAGAATTTGGCTGTTTTGAAGTTCTGTGCAGTTATGTTTATATACATTCGAAATCCAATGGATAAAATGCCTAATCGTACAGTGATTGCCAAATTGGATGGTGTAAGTAATATGTATTATGAACCTCATCAAATCATGATTAAAAGCAGTTCAATTTTTACCATTCAAATCAAAATTATAAATAAAAAATAAAGAAAATTTACTTTGCAATCAAAAGGGTCTTATGACTATATCGCGATTATTACTGAGTTATTTGTGTAAAATGTCGGAAAACAAGATTAACCTAGCCTACGTTTTTTTCCTTTACAGAGTCTTGATATACGAATCAAAATTTTTATGAAAGATTCACTTTTATGTGGGGAAGTCGTGGCTTTTGAGTAAGTTTTTTTCTATCGTTTTTATGTAGAGATTCTTTGTTAAAATGCGATTTGGTATTAACTTTTTTTGTCACCGGATTTCATTGAAAGTGAAATGGCTGTTGTACATGTATCATTCCATGAGAATATGTTACATACATATATGCTTTCGTCTTTTTCACTTTTTGCTACATTTAATAATTATGAATAATTCTTTTACAGGCCATATTTGGAAAATATGGATACAACTATCCATGACTTTGATGTAGGTTTTTCAAGAGTTTTCAAAATTTTCAAGTAATATGGCTCTTAAGAATCTTGCTTTTTTTCTAGATATTTGTCTTTATATATATATATATATATATATATATATATATATATATATATATATATATATATATATATATATATATATATGTCCGATATATGCGCCAAACCCCGATGGCTCATAGTCTTTACGGGCCTTGAACATTTTTATTATTGATTTTGCTTAATGGAGGCCGGTCCTTCGGATATCCCCTTGTCACAGTAGGTGCTGGCACGAAAAAGATCCCTCCCTGCTTAATGGCCCTAAGTGCCGAGCATAGGACAAAATTTGCAGCTCTCAACCAGCAAATGGTGGCGTCTCCATATGAGTGAAAAATTCTCGAGAGGGACGTGCCATACACACTTTTCGTCTTTTATAATACTTATATATATATATATATATATATATATATATATATATATATATATATATATATATATATATATATATATATATATATATATATATAACATTAATTTCGACATGCCATTCCATTATACAAGATACTGATAGTGCATATATACAAAGATATTATGGATATTTATTATGCCCCCCCTTTGCAGAAGGGAGGGCATATTGCTTTGCTGTTGTCTGTTGGTCGGTCTGTCTGTTGGTCCACTTTGTTTCCGTTCATTTTCTTCACAACCGTTGCACATACTGAAATGAAACTTGGTATACATAAATATCTAGGTCAAGTTTTGTTTTGGATACTGTCGCACCATTTTTGACAGAGTTATGCCCCTTGGACTTAGAAAAATTCCAATTATTTGCCGTTTCCGTTCATTTTCTTCGCAGAGGTTGCACATGCTGAAATGAAATTAAATATACAGATAGATCGGATGAATATCTAGGTCAACTTTTGTTTTGCGTACGGTCGCAGCATTTTTACAGAGTAATTCTCCTTGGACTAAGAAAAATTCCAATTATTTGCAGTTTCCGTTCATTTTCTTCGCAGAGGTTGCACTTACTGAATGAAATTAAGTATACAGATATATCAAATGAATATCTAGGTCAAGTTCTATTTTGGGTACGGTCGCACCATTTTTGACAGAGGTATGCCCCTTGAAATTAGATTGA